TTTCTTAGTCACTGCAGCTCGTAAACGCGGTAATACGGCTGAATTTGACAATTGCTTTGCTATGCATGAAGAATCAAAAATGATATATTGCAACGACATCGAATCATTGTTCAATTGCTTTGATATTACACATGATGTGACAGAGTGGAGACTCTTCATTGATGGTTCAACTGCCAGCTTAAAAGCCGTTTTACTTCACAATGGAAATGTCTATCCATCCATTCCAATTGCCTACGGTAGATATCAAAAAGAGGATTACGACACTATTAAATTGATGCTTCATCTCATTGAATACGATACGTATAAATGGCAAGTATGCTCCGATCTCAAAATGGTTGCGATTCTCTGTGGGATTAGGCAAGCATACTCAAAGCATCAGTGTTTATTGTGCAAGTGGGAAGGCCGCGCTGACGATTTTCACTATGGTTTTGAATGGGAAGCTCGAGATAACCGCAAAATCGGCGAATATAGCATTGTTTTCGAGCCATTGATTGATTTTGAATTAGTTATATTGCCACCCTTGCACATAAAATTGGGATTGATCAAAAACTTTCTCAAAGCATTGTACCGCATAAACCCAGACACATTGACATTTTTGATCGGATATTTCAAGAATCAATTGACCCCTGCAAAAGTGGAAGGATGTGGTCTAAACGGGAAACAAACTAATAAGTTATTTGGAAGCGCCGAATTTCTGAACATGCTCTCTCCACTCGAGAAACGAGCATTTTTGGGAATACGCGATGTTTGTGAAAATTTTCTGGGCAACACACGAGCTGAGAACTATGAAGAAATCGTGGATGACATGTTAACTGCATTCCAGGAAATGGGTGTGCATATGTCCCTAAAAATACATTTTTTGCACAACCATTTGGACTTCTTCCCTCCCAACTGCGGCCAATGTAGCGACGAACAAGGCGAGCGTTTCCACCAGGATATTTCAACAATTGAAGAACGCTTCAAAGGGAAAGATGGGACGCATATGTTGGGCGAATACTGTTGGTCAATCTGCCGTTCAACAGACCCCGATCTACATAAGCGCAAAACTCGACGACCAAGTTTTTACACTCCCAAAAAGCCCTAATTCAAAGTAGAATTATAATTTCAATCGTTTTCTATCATTTTCAACAGATTTGAGTTGAGAAA